TGAGGAGGCTTCTGGGAGAGTTGTGTTCTTCACACAGGGCCTGTCATCAACAGTGGCTAAGGCTTCTGCCCCTTCCTGACACTACAACTGACTTTGTTCCTTGGTGTTGCCTGTTGTTAGGTCTACATGCCCAATGATGTCATGGCCCTTGGCTTCTGGTCTTATGCTCCTGCTGCCCTCTGGGCACCTTGCTTTGGTGCACAGACCAAGTTGCAGAGTGGTAAGAAATACCTCATCTTTCCTTTGTTACGGAGAGGGCTATGGCCCTGAGTGTGTGTTTGCCTTTTGTGGCTCCAATCTTAAAAACAGATGGAATGTTTTACTTTCAATAAGCTGAGGCTTATAAGATGCTTTTAATATCCAACTGCTCCATGGTGGAGAAAACATACCTATTAGTTTTGGGGTATTTCTAGTTTGGAAGGTCTTTGGATAGCATTAGTATAATTCACACAGGAATTCACTGATTCACTTTGCTCACTGGAGAATATCAGGCAGACACCTGGTATATAGATGGGGTCCAATCAATGTTTCTCACATTGAATGGAGTTTTATTTCTAACTGGGGAGACAGCAGGACTGTAGAAGGGTGGGCACCGCGTGCAGGCCCGTCCTATGTGGCGTGCAGGTCTCCCCTGAGTGTAGGAAGGCCTGTAGTAGGAGAGAGATCCAGGCTGGCTCCAACCCAGGTTGCAAGTGGCTGTTAGGGGTAAGGGAAGGAGAACAGAATCAGCACATCCTCTCTTGAGACTGGGGGTGCAAGGCAAATTCTTTCAATTCTCAAAGGTTTATTTTCCTGTTCGTTCAATGGAGAGAGTAATATCTAACCTATTTCAGAGCTGTTCTCAGTATAAAAGAAAATCAATACAAATGGAACTCTAAGAAAAAATAAGACAGTCCATAAATAGAAGATATTAGGAAGCATTTCTCTTCACACTAACAGGTAAGATGAAACATGGAGTTTCTTCCCACGTCTCACTGGGAGTAGGAGGTCTGCTTGCTGGGGTGGAGTTTTGTGTGGGGTGTGTGTGTGGTGTGTGTGTGTGGCCCTTTCTGAGGCAGGTGTGCAGTTTTCTTTCCGATGCTGTCAGAAGTTGTCTTGCATTGAGAGGGAGACAAGGAAAGAGCTTTGTGAATTCAGACATTTGAAGCCTTCCATTTGGCCCCAAATGCTGGTAGCCCTCTTATAAAGGAAAAAAAAGTAAAAGCCCGGATGATCTCATAGGTCTTTTCTACCTCTGAAACAGATGGTGTGATTCACATATATTTGACATAAGTGTGACCAGGTTGTGATGATTCGCCTTATTATGCTCAGCTGAAGAGGGGATTAACTAGTAATAATATGCTGAGAATGTAAAGCATGACCTCTGATTAGAATAGAAGGCGGGGGTGGGTTGTTTCATGGTTAAAGCAATGAACTATGACTCAAGGCCTAAGTTTCTAGTCACAGATCTCTAACCTTGTATGTGACACTGAGAGGCTTGCTAGAGGCCTTCGAAAGTGCTCTTAATTTACCCGTACTGGCCACTGCCCTTAAAAGCAGTATAAGTCCTTCTTCTGAGAACAGTGTGGGTGGTAATTAATGGTTAATAATGCTAAAGAGATAGCCATCAGTGAGACTTCTGAATGCCCATGATGCTTTAAGCAATATTCAGACTCTCATCTAGAAATGCTAGCAAAATGCAAATCCCACAGTTTGCAGAAAATCTATTCTTTTTTCTTTGAGACAACCATCTTCTACCCTCTCCAGCATTATCCAACTGACTTTCTGCAACAATGGAAATGCTCTCTCCTCTGTTCAACAGTAGGTGCCATTTGTGGCTATTGCACGCTTCACCTATGGCTGGTGAGGCTTAGAAACGAAATCTTACATTTAACTTTAATTAATTGACATGTATATGAAAATAGCCACATGTGGCTACTGCATTGGACAGCACAGCTGTAGCCAATTCAAACCTCCTGAAAGCCAGAAGGTGAGGTTGAGAGGCAGTAGAAACTAAATAAACAATTATTCAGTCTTTCTCTTTAAAAGTTTCTTTCCCTCTTTTATTCAAGTTGCTGGGTGGAGTACCTGAAATTAGGGTCTGAGGCAAAAGAGTAGCAACGATAAAAATAATGATGATAATAATCTCCCCCCCCACACACACACACACTTCTGTACAGTTTTTCCTGGGTTTAAAATGAGAAGACATCTAAACTCATTAACAAAAAGCTAGCTAGATTGCTTTAACCTAAAGCAACACTTTTCTATACAAACCTGAGACAATAACCAGTAAGATAAGCTTCAGGAGAAGCATTAGCCTCACTCCATACTATTGTCAGATCACCTCTTAAAGAGACCTACGGAAGCACAGGCACATATTTTGCTATGGGCTTTTCTGTCATAAACTCTGCTGCTGATTCCTGGCTCCATTTCCTCTGCAGCGGTTTCCATGCCCCAGCCCCATAGATGGGTCAACTGATAACCAAAGAGCAAGGAGAGACACAGACAACAGGTGCTGGCTTCTGTTCCTTCCAGACACAGAGCGTCTTTTCTTTTTTGCCTCTTTCATGTACTGTGATGAGAACCTCTGCAGTACATAATACACAAAACCTTGAGATCTTACCTTACTAACTTCCCGAAGCATTCCCATGGCCCGTGAGGGACTTCAACAAATGGTGGCCGTTCTCCTTGACCTACGTCCTCACCCATGAAGTGCACTTACTCAAACTCTACATGGTACAAAAACTTACTTTTCCTGCATGCCTTCGGTATTTACCACCCTGTCCTTTGTATATATGTGTGTGTATATATACCCTGCCCTTTGTCTGTGTGTGTGTGTGTGTATATATGTTTCCTGAACAGTATGTTTCTCAGGTGTTGTAAGCTCTGATGGAAGGGGGAGTTTGGTCGCTGTAGTTCTTCTTGAGTACTGCCTAGCACAGTGTCAGACGCAACTAAGGGCTTCGTCAATGCTACTTGATAACGGACAAAAGACTACTAGACTCAAAGGGACTTTTACGGCTTTGGGATTTTAAGGCACTTTTTTCAGTTCAACATATTCCAGAACACGATATATTGCCGCTGCCTTTGGAGGGTCTGTTAAGGGGACTGAATTAGGCTTGGTTATTTTGGGGGTAAGGACTTCAGAATCAGCCATGTATTTTTCAGGTTGATGAATTATTTGAAGATTAGTAAAACAGTCTTGAACTAAGCCAGCAGTTGCACCACAGGCATGGAAGGAAGGAAGATGGCATGATAAACACATTTCTGGTCCCTCTTTTTTCAATAGTGAAACAGAAAGAAGAAAAATCCTCATTCAGGAAATAGTCACAGCGGCCTGCTAAAGCCGAGCAAATCTGACTGCTGAAATGGTGTAAGGATCTTTGCAGTTTATTCGGGTTGGGAAGGAAGTGCGAGTGGAGTACATGATGAACAATGGCCCCACATTGGCCGTGCCTCCCCGGTCTCCACTGTCCTCTCATGTATCTCCTTGCAGCACATTTTCTAAGGAGATTATTTTGAAATAGAAAGCCATTCATTCTGCTCACAAAAATTCATCTTAACTGAAAGACTAAAGTGTAAAATAAGACTGAAGTATAAAACAAAGAGAAATCTAATGAAAATTTAATGCTAAACTAGTAATACTAAAAAACCTTCCTCTTTTCCAAGTTAAAGTCTACAACAAACAGCACTTTAAAGCAGCTATTGGCAAAGTGTGGTGCTTGGGCCAGATGCATCAGCATCTCCTGGGAACTTGTTAGAAATGCAAATTCTTGTGCCCCACCCCAGACCTACTGGAGTAGAAACTCTGGGGGTGGGGCCCAGCAAAGTGTGTTTAAAAAAAACCAAAAAAACAAAAAACAGCCTCCATGTGTGATTCTGACACTCTAATGTTTGAGAACCATTACTTTAAACCAATGTTGGAATAGCTGAAACTATTCAATGCTGTACTAAATTGTACTAAATGAATATCCTTAACCTGTCGAGTGTTTCCCCAATTCTATACATAAGGTCTGAGCAAGCACTTAACACACACAGCCACTAGTCCGTCATTCTGAGATCTCATGGATCTCCAGCTGCCTAGGATCTGATTAAGCCTCCCTTAGCTTCCCAGGAGGCTCCCAGGGTTAGGGCAGGCTGGCGGGGTTGGTATGTCTGAGCTGTGCCACACAGGCTCCTCTGCTTCACCGCGAGAGATGGAGGGATATAAAAAGGGGCCCACAGGGGGAACACGAAGCTGGAAATCTTTGAATTCAACGATTTCATTGAAATCCATCAATTTGAATCATGTTTTGGGAGGAAATATTTAGTACTTTTCAATCACTATTTCACAAATAAAAATCCAAAAATAAATCATGCTTATAACATTTAAAAAAACATCTTTTCAGATAATTGCTTGACGGCTACACAAACGTGTCTCTCCCACGGTGAGCAAAGGTGCTGACAGAGTGCAGCGTCTGAAATGTGTGTGTCCACATTTATTTCCCAGTCCCTTCACCCTGCATTGCAACGTTTATTAACCAATGTCTTCTCGTCACAAACCTCCTGGCTTTACCCAGTCCTTTCCTATTCCATCACATCTGCCCTCCAGATTGCAAGGGGAATTATTGAGACTTTATTCCTCCAAATGATTCCAATTTCTGTTTGATAACAAAGTTTGCTCATGTAATAGTCTTTATGTGCCCCAAGAAGGCAAGGACGGAAAAGTCTCAAAGTACCAGATGCACAATATCCTTTTATGATATTTGTCATCACAAGAAAAACCTCCATCCTGAGAAAAATGGAAATGCAAACTCTCCTCAGTAACTTTTCTCACTTTAAAATTGCACTTCTCATCACGACCTATTACACCCACATAGTCATGTGCCATAGGCTCTGCAGACTGTCTCCAACATTTCAAAAGCTCAAAAGCTATTTTTAAAGCCAAAATACAATCTAGATTGCTGTTCTGTAAAGCACTTTTAAAGGAAGAACAAAGTAATATAGTGATTTTTATGCCTGTGGGCAGGTAGCCAACTTACCAAAAGATTGAATGCAGCTGTCAATGAGATCGTCCAGGCTGGCTCCTTTGGCTAAATGTCCCAGAGACACCATCATTCGGAACTGGGTGATCTGGGCCAAGCTGGGATGGGAGGGGAAGGGGCTGTTGGCTGGCTTCGCCTCTAGTCTTGCTTTAGGGGCAGCTCTGCAGCCATGGGAAGGTTTCCTGGGGAAAGAGAGAAGGCAGTGAGGGGACAAACTGGCAGCTCCACGCTCTGAAGGCAGATTGGAGAGGAAGGGAATGGAGATAAGACAATTAATCTCAGGAGTTGGGCTGATAGAAGCCATACCCCTCCCACTTGGCAAATGCACCAAACGACTGGTTGGCTGTTAAAGAGACATCTCCCCAGCAAAGGTGAGATTTCAGGGTTGCAACTAGGGCTCTTCATGCTGGCATTAGGATTGCTCTGTCCTACTGTCTCCCAGTTCCTGAAGGGGAATGGGCAGAGGCAAGACTATCTTGACAGTCTTTAGCTCCCAGCAATATATATATTTTTTCAGCTACTAAGCCACTGACTTGAATCTTAAAAATTGTTTACATTGGTCTCATCTTTGGCTAACTTTGGCCAGGCACGGTGGCTCACGTCTGTAATCCCAGCACCGTGGGAGGCGGAGGCAGGTGGATCACCTGAGGTCGGGAGTGCGAGACCATCTCTGGCTAACTTCATTCATCTTCGGCAACACCTGAGATGCTACACAAGGTCAGGCAGCCTCAGAATCATCGTTAAGGACCTTAAGGGAGAAGTCAAAGACTGAGAACCCAAGTGCAGGAAGTGAGGGGTGATGATGGTGGTGTTTAGATTTTAAGTGAGTCCTGCCTTTCTTACAAATCTTTTAGTTTTAAGATCTTGTTTTTCATGGTTGATAATACAGGTAACCATTATGAGTCATTTTTGTTACTAAACATCATTTTTTCAAATCCTTACTTGGGTCCTTAATGATTAAAACAGAAAGCAGAGCTGTGAGAGCGTTGTTCCAGAGCTCAATGTAAAAGGGCAAGTTTGGATCTAGAAATGGCGTAAGAGTCCAATGGACTTTCATCTACTCACACGTAGCTCTATCTTTGGTCATGACCTCATCAGTACAAGTCATTTTGCAAAATGATTTGGGAAGTTTACTGTCCTCTCCATTAAAAAATACACATACACACACAGATCCATATCTGTAATCTTTTTTGGTTTAATAGTGATGAGTGTTGCTGGTAACTCTTCTAAGCATTTAGTTAATTCTCCTCTCTCTACTGTGGCTTTGGTTATTTTGTAGTTTACTACCAAAGCAGCAAAGAGAAAAAGGAAAACAACGTATCTCAGAAGTGTAACTTTACTCACTACATATTATGATAAATGTATAATGGCATCAATTAATCTCTAAGTGCTTATTCTATGAGTAAGGCATTGTGATTGGCCAGAGAAGACCACAGAGATAGTCTAGGTGAGGATACTTTATATACTCATTACGTACTAGTTGCTGTTGTTACATAACAGTAGTCTAGAAGTTCCTTAATACAAAAATACAGCTGAGGAATCAGACTGAGATAATGAAAAGCAAGCCATATAAATGTTAAATAAGTGTTCTATGAGTGTCAAGAGTAAGAAGCATGATGTTCTCAGAGGAGAAAGAGGCAGTTTGAGGGAGAGTGTCTGGGAAAGCTGCTCTGACAGGATATAATCTCAACCAAAGGGGCTGAGGAAGTGCTCAGATCAAAACAAAATGCTAGGCACATGTGGGTTTTGGGAAACCAGACTGCTAAGAGATGGTGTGTAACTGAACTATGGGGCCACTCAGTACACAGCTAGACCTGTGCAGGGGCACCCTGGCCCTTCAGGTTGTTTCAAACTAGCTCCAGGGTGCTGGTCTGCAGTGGCTGCTCAGTTCTATTCTGACCTGGTGCAGGTCCAGTGAAATTGAATCAACAATTGGTTATTGGGCATCTGCTAACCCTAGGCAGTAATTCCTGAAAGATCAAGTCGGTGGTACAGGACTCAAGTTTCTGACCATAACTGATTTTCAAACAGGCCCTGTGATAACCGCATAATTGGATCAGTCTCTAAAAACAAAATAATAATGGCGACATGAATTGAGTACCTATGCTATGGCAGGTACTGTGCTGGGGACTGACCCTGTCTTGAGGCTTATAGCCCAGAAGGATGTTATCCCCATCTCATGATGCTGAAACCGAATCTTAAAAAGGGTAAATGACATAGCCAAGTTTATAAAACTCATATATAATAAACCTGAGATTTGTACCCAGCACCTCTCTGGCTTTATTCATTTAATAAATATTTACTGTGCTTGGAACTCTGCACATTTCACAACATGAGGATTAGTACTAGACCATCACAGAGAGGCTCAAAAGGTCAATTCAATTTAAAATGAAAGTAAAATCCTTCAAAACCATAGCTGATACTGTAAAGGCTGAATCTCAGTCCATATTCCTTTTGCAGGCCCTCAGAACTGTCCTCAGGTCCCTAGAGCTGGACAGACTCTTTATGGTCATTTTCCAAACCCCTCTTCTATAGGTGTGGAGGTCCAGAATCGGAAGAGCAACGTGCCTGGCCACAACTGCACAGACAGGCTAGCAGCCAGCCCCTTGTGGCCCATGCCTTGCGCCCCAGGTGGGCTCCCTTCCCTTCCTGAAAGCACTAACAGCTCTCTACACCTGGGCTACATAGCCACTGCCGGGATTACTCAGCTTTCTGCCCCAGCTGCTGCCTTTGTCACCATTAAGACCTCCACCAAAGGCCGAGTAGGGGTAAGATTAAAAAAAATAATAATAAAGTCATTCATTATAGAAGTCTCCTTCTCTCACGCTTTCCACAATACTTCTCCCTAGACCTTGGAGAAGAGGCGACTACAACTAGAGGCTCTATCTACACACAGAGCTCTTCCTGCTAGGGGTGGAGGGGAGGTGGCTACAGATCCAAGGAAAATTCCGTTTTCTTTCTTGGTTGGTGACATTGACCATTCAAGCCTCCTAATCCTGCCCTGTTTTCTAATTCTGGTAATGTTTCCCAGTGTCACCAGTAACAGAAGCCACTTTGTTTCATAAGGGGATTCTTGAAGGTTGACGCTTTTACCAGAACCAGGAGGGATCAGGGTAAAGTATAGGGTAGTAAAAGGGAAGAGAGGGTGCCAAAAGCAATCTGGGAAGTATGGAGCCCAGAGAGACTCAGAGGGCTACAGCATGAGAAAACAGGGAGAAGAGAAAGTATTAAAAGTCAAAGTGCAGCCTAAGAGTTCTAAGAAGACAGGAATTATTTGCACGGTAGACTAGGAAACCTGGCTTTCTTGCTGTACAGTCTCTTAACTGGTTGCCTTGTGAGAAATCCTCAAATCGTTCTGCCTTTCCTGGTGAAATGGGGGTAGACAAGGATTTATAAAATGCTTTATTATAGGCAGGTCGAAGGGTGTTTTAACAATCCATAGAATGAATGGCCTCTGAGTCTGTAAAGGCATATTTAAAAAAAGAAAAACAGTGGCCAAATGTTTTCTTGTAAATGAAAAAAACAAAACCCCGAGAGAAACGAATTAACTTGAAGGTGTTTTCTGAGCCTAAAAGTGACCAAAGTCCCATAGGTTTGCTGAAGGAGACCGTCAAAACTCTAAACTGGTTTAGGTGAAATCCTCTCCAGGCATAGGTATCTCAGTGGAGATCAGTTTCAGGCTGAGCTTTGTATGAAATCCAGCCTAGAAAAGTAAGGGATGAAATGGAGTAAGGGAACTGGAACTTCCACAACTTTCTTTGCAGTGGAAGGTGACTCTCTTGACTTCTAGTGTAGATTCCTTCCAGTCCCATCCTCTCCCCCTTATAATACTCAATTTAATGTACTGAACTCCTCCTTCTGAATCTAGTGCAAAGTACAGTGGTGGACCCTCAGCGGACACCCGGATGGGGAGAGGCAGGGCGTGCATACAGGGCCAAGAACCCTCCGTTCCTGGGATTATAAGCACGGGAAGCCCAGCATCGCAAGCTTCCGCTACTGGGTATGGTGGTGCAAGGCACAGTCCCATATGGAGTTGTGAAGTGCACAATTTGTCTAGCCCTACGCCGAGGCCAGGCCGTTGTTCATGCTGTTGCCCAGTTCTGGTCCTCTGGCTACAAACTCAAAGCTGCCTGGCCAAGAGTCCTTTCACTCACTGTCCCTCTTTCTTCAACTTCTATTATCTAAGACCCTCTACAGAATCATAGTGAGGGGGAGAGGAATGCAGCTTCCCATCCGGAAGGCCATATGTTTCGCTGACCCACGGATCTGGAAACTTCCGTGGGGCAGGGGCGAACAAGCGGTGCCACCTCTGCGGGCTCCCTGCAAGCTCCCTCGGCCGTTCTGGGCAGGGCCCTCTACAGAATCATAGTGAGGGGGAGAGGAAT